AGATGGAAGCATAGTGCAATGTGTTGATCTATTAAGCTTTCTAGCGATCCATGAGGTCGAGCGTTAGATCAATGACTCCCAAATCAGACGACTTTAGGGCACTAGGTGTTGAAACACCCCTAAGGACTTATAAGCTTAAATCAACTAGGCTACAAAGCAAAATAACCTTTATTTAATCATTTCCCACTTCTCACCTTTTGGGAGAAGTTCTCACTTTTTTATTACTTTTGCAATTTTTTTTTTTTTTTTTTTTTTTTTTTTTTTTTTTTTTTTTTTAATTAAGTTCAATTTTTAACTTAAAGTTTGGGCCCTCCACCTTTCGGCGCGAGAAATTCAGTGCTTGATGAGGTTAGAATCCCGGCTACTCAATGAAAAGGGTTTGTTATCCATTTTTATCAAGATGAAAGCTTTCAATGCACTACTAGCTCAATTGGGATATAACCAATTCAATAGTCAACAAAACATGTACCCCACAAATGAATGCTAGTGTGCGCCTGTGCTAGTGCAAAATATTAAAGTGAATCTCAAAACAATCACAAAATCAGGATGATATGGACCACAAATGCAAGCATGATATCAATCTTTCGAAAAATTTACTCCTAAATGGCATCCATAAGGCATACAAGGAGTATTGGACTCTCAAGTCAAGCAATTTTTAAATTTTAAAGCAATATAGTCCTTAAAAGATCAAAATCGTAGCTAGTCATAGACCAATTATAGAAAATCCCTCAAATACACAAGTCATGCTCAAAATTTTGAATTGAAAACAAACACTGCAAATAACACCTATTACCCCCAAACTTAAATGGCGCAGTGTCCTTAATGTGCAAAGAGAACAAAAGAATGAGTTAACCAGTGCAGCTAAGGCAAAGAATGGCCGAGACATAAATATCCGAAGTGGGTGATATAACTCCCTCAAACTTGGGATTGACTGTGGTCCTGAAAAGATGGCACTGGGAGAAAAGCTGATCAGATAACAAAGGGGATAATAACAGTGCACAGTAGACATGCAAATGTAAATGGGATAATAAATGAACTAAGGAGGGAGGAATAAGGATGGTCCTGAAAATTTTTGGGCAGCACTCTCTCACTGAAGTCATTGGGATGCACCTGATAATAGAGTCAACCACAAATAGATATATCAATATAATAACTAGACATCCAAAAATATCATGCATAGGATAAAGAAAATAAGAACTGTATAAGCTACAACACTATTACGACCCAAAATATACCCAAAATAATAATAATAAAATCTATAAAAATTTTGGCATGACCTCCGCAGAAAAGTCCCTCTACAACCTGTTGAAATACAAAAATAAATGCAACGGCCTCACTAAGCCTTAAATCTAACCTACTCTATCCCAACACACAATACAGATATTATATTACATTCCCAAAATGGTTACATACATACAAAAGTCCCGTTCCTCCATCTCATCTAAATAAGGGACACACTTTAGTTACATCAATTTACAGTCCAAAAATGTAGTTAGAATTTAAAAGTTCATAGCTTACAACATTATACTAATTAAACTAAAGTCTTACAAGATAGTTAATGTTACATTTACAAAATATTAGGGTTCTAATACAAAAGATAGCAAAAATAAAATAGATCCCCAAGCTCATTTAAACTTGTGGTGGATCGTCGTTCGCCACCTCTTTTCCATATCCTGAAATGTTAAAAATAATGGGGTGAGCATAAGCTCAGTAGGAAGTGTCTAAGACACACTTCTTAGGTCCCTGTGAATCCATAAACTGGATAGATAAAAAGTGAACGGGATCATGGCATAGGGAAACACACATTCTCAACCACAATAACAAGTATGTAACAAATATCAACCAACCACAATTTTACCACGATGTCATGAAGTGCAATTTTATGCAAATATCACTCTCCCATTTCCGAAACAATTCCGTTTCAAGAACCAAACCGTTAGTGTAATCCGACCCAAGGCACCTCTAAGGCGTCACGGAAGGAAGGTTGGTTAACTATCCACGATCACAAGGCACCTCCAAGGCGTCGCATCCGGCCTAGTTAACTCAACTACATTCCCTTCTATACTACACCAACATATCGGACCACTAGGCGCCTCCTAGGCGTCCGGTTTTAGCAAGACTTTTAGAAAATATTTTCCCCAAAATAATTTCGTTTGTTCTAAAAAAAATATTTTTCCCCCTTTTTCTTTCCCAATGAATGCATGAATGTGTGTGTTTCAATTTATCAATTCAACTATAGGTTTTCACACATTCCATTTACATCATCATTACAATTCAATAAGAATTTCTAAACATTCATTTATTTTATTTTTTTATAACCATAGCAACTATTTCTTTTCAAGACAATAAATAAATAATCATAGAACACACAACATCTCAAACATTAAGCATGCTCATTTATCGCAATGAAAATAGACATATATATGAACTCAAATAACTCATGGAACACATTTATCATTTTAATTACACATAACTACAACAACAACAAGCTAGGTAATAAAAATTTAGCATGCTTAGGATCAAATTTAAGGGGAAAAATTCACAAAAGACTAAGAAATTGTAGATTAGAACACCCCTACCTCAAAGGATAGCGGTCGTCTCTGTCCATCTGCATAACTCTTTTATTAGCTTTGAGCTGTAAGCAATCTCTGCCTGATCAGCTTAATCTTCTCGGTAGTCTTAAGTACAATGTCGGGTCCTACGGCGGCTGTCTCGCCTACCTCAGTCCAACAGACAGGAGACCTACAAGGTTTACCATACAACGCCTCAAATGGAGCCTTCTGAATACTCGTCTGATAACTGTTGTTGTAGGCAAACTCAATAAGTGGAAGGTGATCCTCCCAACTACCACCCAAGTCAAGTACACAGACCCGAAGAATATCCTCTAAGATTTGGATGGTACGCTCCGATTGGCCATCCGTCTGCGGATGAAATGCTGTACTAAGGTGCAACACGGAGCCAAACACTGCTTGAAGTCCTTCCTAGAACTTCGAGGTGAACTTGGCATCCCTATGTGAAACAATAGCCACTGGAATTCCGTGCAATCTTATAATGTTTTTCACATAGAGCACAGCAAGCGCCTCTGCGTCATCTGTTGCCTTAAGAGGCAAAAAGTGAGTGGTCTTGGTCAATCTATCAATAATGACTCATACGGCTTCATTTCCCCTCCGTGACCTAGGAAGACCTGTAACAAAATCCATTGTAATCTCTTCCCATTTCCACTACGCTACCGGTAATGTCTGCAATAAACCAGCTGGTCTCTGGTGCTCGGCCTTCACCTATTGAAAAGTAGGGCACTTAGCCATAAACTGTGCAATGTCCTTCTTCATTCCATTCCACCAATACTGGCGTCTCAGATTATGCTCCATTTTGGTACCACTAGAATGAACTGCAAAGTGGGAAGTATGAAACTCCCATAAGACGTCCTCACTATAAACTGTAAGAATAACCAACAAACCCCTAAACCGTAAACCTTCATTTGCATGTAAGGTCCAATCCTTTATGGTCTCGCCACTGGAGATTAAAGTGTAAATGACATCCAAATCTGAATTCTGTCTCTGTGACTCAATCACCAGTCTAATAAAAGTGGGTTGAGTCACGAGACTAAACAAGAATGCTGACTCACTGCCATCATCATCATCATCAAAATAATACAATCCCATTTCAGCCAAATCTTCCAGCATCTTCCATTTCTGAATGGCTAAACTAGCTAAAGTCCTATGAGATTTCTGGCTTAAAGCACCAGCTACCACATTTGGCTTACCTGGATGATACTACAAATCAAAGTTGTAGTCTTCCAAAAACTCAACCCATCACCTCTGTCTGTTGTTCAAGTCCTTTTGGGAGAAAAGGTACTTGAGACTCTTGTGGTCTGAGAACACCTCAAATCTCTCACCATACAAATAGTGTCTCCAAAACTTCAAGGCAAACACAACTACCACTAGCTCCAAATCATGAGTAGGGTAGTTAAGCTTGTGAGTCTTTAACTGTCGAGACCCATAAGCCACTACTCTACCATCCTGCATCAGTACATAACCCAAACCATCACGTGAGGTGTCACAATAGATCGCATAACCCATGCCACGCTCGGGTATCACCAACACTGGAGCCGTAGTCAACCTTATTTTCAACTCTTGAAAGGATGACTCACAGGCCTTATTCCATGCAAACTTGATCCATTTCTGGGTCAATCTGGTCATGTGAGCTGCTAAACGGGAAAGAATGCTTCACAAATCTCCGATAATAGCCCGCTAGGCCAAGGAAACTCTATTTCTTAAAGACATTCTTGGGTTGCTCCCAATTCAGAATTGCCTCTATCTTTGAAGGATCAACTGAAACCCCACCTTCTGAGACAGCATGTTCCAAAAATTTCACCTCTTGTAGCTAAAACTCACACTTTCATATTTGGCGTACAAACGGTGCTCCCGTAGAATCTACAACACTATACTCAAATAGACCTCGTGCCCCTCCCAAGTCCGTGAATACATAAGAATTTCATCCACGAAAACTACCACAAACTGATCCAACTAATCGTGGAAGACACGGTTCATTAGATCCATGAATGCTGCTGGTGCGTTAGTCAGACCAAAGGGTATGACAAGAAACTCATAATGTCCATACCACGTACGGAAAGCGATCTTTGGAATATCCTCCTCTCTAACCCGCAACTGATAATAACCTGACCTCAAGTCAATCTTTGAAAAATAACTGGCTCCTCTTAACTGATCAAATAAATCATCTATCCTTAGCAAGGGATACTTATTCTTGATGGTGGCATGATTCAACTTTCGGTAATCAATGCACAACCTCAAAGAACCATCTCTCTTTTTAGCGAACAAGACCGGTGCACCCCATGGTGACACACTCGGCCGGATAAAGCCTTTCATCCTCAAATCATCAAGTTGCTTCTTCAATTCCTCTAATTCAATCGGTGCCATATGATATGGTGCCATAAAAATTGGCACTGTACCAGGCATCAAATCAATAGCAAATTCCACCTCTCAGTGTGGAGGTAACTCAGTCAAGTCCTTCGGAAACATATCTAGAAAATTGCGCACAACCGCTGGATAATCAACCCCATAAAACTCAACTTCATCATCGGTGAGAAGACTAGCCAAGAAGAATGTCTGCCGATCCCAACCCCTAACACCATAAAATGAATGAGTGAAAGGATCGCACTGATCTCCCACAAAACAGAAATAATCCCCATCCGGGGTACACACTGAAACTCTGCTCCTTAAAAAATCAATAACAGCTCTGAAGGACGACAACCAGTCCATCCCAAGAATGACGTCAAATCCCGTCATCTCGAGAAGGATGAGATCGAACTCAAAAACACGTCCGGCAATCGTGATGGAACAACTCCTACAAACTCTACCAAGAATGACTGAATCCCCAATAGGTGTGTCAACATAGAACGGTCTGTCTAACTGACTGACCTCCAAACCCAATGCCCGTGCAAATGATAAAACAATGAATGAATAAAAAGCACCGGAATCAAACAATACACATGCCCAAGAATGGGACACAAGAAACATACCCTTGACAAATGAAGGACTGGATGGTGGCTCGGCTGGAGTGAGTGCAAACACGCGACCCTGGGTCCTATGCCCCTGAGAACCGCCTGCTTGATAACCAGACTACTGAGTGGGTGCACTCGAAGAAGCTCCCCTACCAGGCCGAGAACTCTGGGTTGACATAGGTGGTTGAGATGGCTGAGGTGGTGGTAGCGGTCGAAACCCTAACTGAACTGTGGCAGACTGCATCTGCCTCTGTTGTGAACCTCCACCTCTGCCCAAACCATTGCCCCGCTGTGGACAATATTTCACCCTATGGCCCTGGTGGCCACACCCGAAACATCCACCAGATGCCACCTGAATCTGAGTACACTGAGACTTGTGATGCCCTGACTGCCCATACTTGAAACAAATCACTTGAGCTACCTGAGCCTGAGTGCATTGGGACTTATAATGTCCCTGCTCGCATCTGAAACAAGTAACATTAGGTCTAGAAGACCCCATGGACACTGAAGATGTGGGTGCGGATCGACTGGCTACTGTCCCCTGAACCCTGACTGCTCATGCTTCTACTTCTTACTTGATTGTCCCTCAGAGAAAGCACTCATACCCCTATTGTGCTTGCAGGACTCCCTGATGCCTTACTATCCATGCTTTCAGCCTCAACCATTAAGGCCTTTTGCACTGCTTTTGCATACTCTGTAGGTTCTGAAGCAGCTACAATTGGCCTGATGATAAGATCAAGGCCATCAACAAATTTCTCTATCTTTCCTTCCTCATCATTAGCAATCCCTAGTGCAAACCTCAAAAGTGATGTAAACTTGTTTTCATACTCTATAACTGTCATGTTTCCTTGCTTCAACCCATCAAATTCCTTCTTTAGTTCCCTCCGCTTAGGCGCCGGAAAGTACTTCTCATAGTACAATTTCTTAAAAGTATCATATGTCATAATATCTAAATCATGCGTGTGTGAAACAGTCTTCCAACATATCTCAGCATCACCAATAAAATTGTAAGTCGCCAATGTGATCTTCAACTTGTCTATTGCCAAATTCATGGCATTAATATGCTTCTCCACTCTATCCATGAACATATCCGTAATAAGCGGATCTGGGCCTCCCTCAAATAGAGTTGGCATCAATTTCACAAACTTTGCAATGTGGTAAAGAGGATCATCTAACTCATTTGTCTTTGGAGGTGGTGGTGGTGGTGGTGGCACAAACTGTGATGATGACGCACCTGCCGGTCGATATGCATCAAAAAGAGCAGCCTGAATGGCTTACCTCAACTGCTGCCTATTTATCTGAAAAGGTGGATCAATAGTCCCCCTCGCTTGTCCCCCTCTTGGTGGGACCAAATCACACAACAAAATATCTTCCTCAACTTGTTCCTGATCCCTTTCCACGGGATTAGAGCTAGAACTTTCCCCAGGATCTCTTCGTGTTGCCATGACGCTATAAGAAAAAGGAAATGGATCAATAATGATGACACTTAAATACGCACGAGAACGGAGTCCTCACACGAATGACTTGACAAGAATGGAAACACATAAGCACCTTCCATACTCCCAAAATAGCCAACTAATGATAAACACAATCATGCTAATAATATACAACAACACTAAGCACTTAGCACGTAATCATATAAGCAATTAAACAATTAAGCGTGCCTTTCAAATAATTAAGCACCTTAACATATAAGCATATAAGTATGCAATCACGTAAGCAATTAAGTAAGTAAGCAAATAATGAAACTCCCCATGCAATCCTAGGTAGGCCTTTACTCGTCGTCCTAATGGTATTCGAACCATTACTCTGATACCAAATTTGTAACGACCCAAAATAATAAAAATAAAATCTATAAAAATTTCGGCATGACCTCCGTAGAAAAGTCCCTCTACAACCTGTTGAAATACAAAAATAAATGCAAGGGCCTCACTGGGCCTTAAATCTAACCTATTCTATCCCAACGCACAATACAGATATTATATTACATTCCCAAAATGGTTACATACATATAAAAGTCCCGTTCCTCCATCTCATCTAAACAAGGGACACACTTTCATTTCATCAATTTACAGTCCAAAAATGTAGTTAGAATTTAAAAGTTCATAGCTTACAACATTATACTAATTAAACTAAAGTCTCACAAGATAGTTAATATTACATTTACAAAATATAAGGGTTCTAATACAAAAGATAGCAAAAATAAAATAGATCTCCAAGCTCGTTTAAACTTGTGGTGGATCGTCGTCTGCCACCTCTTTTCCATATCCTGAAAGTGTTAAAAATAATGGTGTAAGCATAAGCTCAGTAGGAAGTGTCTAAGACACACTTCTTAAGTCCCCGTGAATCCATACAATGAATAGATAAAAAGTAAACGGGATCATGGTATAGGGAAACACACATTCTCAACCACAATAACAAATATGTAACAAATATCAACCAATCACAATTTTTCCACGATGTCATGAAGTGCAATGTTATGCAAATATCACTCTCCCATTTCAGAAACAATTCCGTTTTAACAACCAAACCGTTAGTGTAATCCGACCTAAGGCACCTCTAAGGCGTCACGGAAGGAAGGTTGGTTAACTATCCACGACCACAAGGCACCTCCAAGGCGTCACATCCAGCCTAGTTAACTTAACTACATTCCCTTCTAGACTACACCAACATCATGGACCACTAGGCGCCTCCTAGGCGTCCGGTTTTCGCAAGACTTTTAGAAAATATTTTTCTCAAAATAATTTCGTTTGTTCTAAAAAAAATATTTTTCCCCCTTTCTCTTTCCCAATGAATGCATGAATGTGTGTGTTTCAATTTATCAATTCAACTATAGGTTTTCACACATTCCAGTTACATCATCATCACAATTCAATAAGAATTTCTAAACATTCATTTATTTAATTAATTTATTTATTTATAACCATAGCAACTATTTCTTTTCAAGACAATAAATAAATAATAAATAATCATAGAACATACAATATCTCAAACATTAAGCATGCTCATTTATCGCAATGAAAATAGACATATATATGAACTCAAATAACTCATGGAACACATTTATCATTTTAATTACACATAACTACAACAACAACAAGCTAGGTAATAAAAATTTAGCATGTTTAGGATCAAATTTAAAGGGAAAAATTCACAAAAGGCCAAGAAATTGTAAATTAGAACACCCATACCTCAAAGGATAGCGGTCGTCTCCCCCTATCTGCATAACTCTTCTGTCGGCTTTGAGCTGTAAGTAATCTCTTCTGCCTGATTAGCTTAATCTTCTCGGTAGTCTCAAGTATAATGTCGGGTCCTAAGGTGGCTGTCTTGCCCACCTCAGTCCAACAGACAGGAGACCTACAAGGTCTACCATACAACACCTCAAATGGAGCCATATGAATACTCGTCTGATAACTGTTGTTGTAGGCAAACTCAATAAGTGGAAGGTGATCCTCCCAACTACCACCCAAGTTAAGTACACAGGCCCGAAGCATATCCTCCAAGATTTGGATGGTACGCTCTGACTGGCCATCTGTCTGCGGATGGAATGCCGTACTAAGGTGCAACGCTAAGCCAAACGCTACTTGAAGTCCTTCCCAGAACTTTGAGGTGAACTTGGCATCCCTATCTGAAACAATAGCCACAGGAACTCCGTGCAATCTTACAATCTCTTTCACATAAAGCACACCAAGCGCTTCTGCGTCATCTGTTGCCTTAAGAGGTAAAAAGTGAGTGGTCTTGGTCAATCTATCAATAACGACCCATACGGCTTCATTTCCCCTCCGTGACCTAGGAAGACCTGTCACAAAATCCATTGCAATCTCCTCCCATTTCCACTGCGCTACTGGTAATGGCTGCAATAAACCAGGTCTCTGGTGCTCGGCTTTCACCTGCTGATAGGTAAGGCACTTAGCCATAAACTGTGCAACGTCCTTCTTCATTCCATTCCCCCAATACTGACGTCTCATATTGTGATACATTTTGGTACCACCTGGATGAACTACAAAGCGGGAAGTATGAAACTCCTGTAAGACGTCCTCACGACAAACTGTAGGAACAATCAACAAACCCCTAAACCGTAGACCTCCATATGCATGTAAGGTCCAAACCTTCACGGTCTCGCCACTGCAGATCAAAGTGTAAATGGCATCCAAATCTGAATCCTGTCTCTGTGACTCAATCACCCGTCTAACAAAAGTGGGTTGAGCCACGACACTAAACAAGAATGCTGACTCACTACCGTCATCATCATCATCAAAACAATACAATCCCATTTCAGCCAAATCTTCCAGCATCTTCCATTTCAGAATGGCTAAACTAGCCAAAGTCCCATGAGATTTCCTGCTTAAAGCATCAGCTACCACATTTGCCTTACTCGGATGATACTGCAAATCAAAATTGTAGTCTTCCAAAAACTCAACCCATTGCATCTGTCTGTTGTTCAAGTCCTTTTGGGAGAAAAGGTACTTGAGACTCTTATGGTCTGAGAACACCTCAAACTTTTAGTCATACAATTAGTGTCCCTAACACATTAAAGCAAACACAACTGCCGCTAGCTCCAAGTCATGAGTATAGTAGTTAAGCTCGTGAGTCTTCAACTATCGAGACCCATAAGCCACTGCTCTACCATCCTGCATCAGTACACAACCCAAACCATCACGTAAGGTGTCATAATAGATCGCATAACCCATGCCACGCTCGGGTATCACCAACACTGGAGCCGTAGTCAACCTTGTTTTCAACTCTTTAAAGGATGACTCACAGACCTTATTCTATGCAAACTTAATCCCTTTTCGGGTCAATCTGGTCATATGAGCTGCTAAACGAGAAAAAATCCTTCACAAATCTCCGATAATAGCCCGCTAGGCCAAGGAAACTCTGGATCTCAAAGACATTCTTGGGTTGCTCCCAATTCAGAACTACCTCTATCTTTGAAGGATCAACTGAAACCCCACCTTCTGAGACAACATGTCCCAAAAATTTCACCTCTAGTAGCCAAAACTCACATTTTCATATTTGGCGTACAAACGGTGCTCCCGTAGAATCTGCAACACTGTACTCAAATGGACCTTGTGCCCCTCCCGAGTCCGTGAATACACAAGAATGTCATCCACGAAAACTATCACAAACTGATCCAAGTAATCATGGAAGACACGGTTCATTAGATCCATGAATGTCGTTGGTGCGTTAGTCAGACCAAAGGGTATGACAAGAAACTTATAATGTCCATACCGCATACGAAAAGCGATCTTTGGAATATCCTCTTCTCTAACCTGCAACTGATAATAACCTAACCTCAAGTCAATCTTCGAAAAACAACTGGCTCCTCTTAACTAATCAAACAAATCATCTATCCTTGGTAAGGGATAATTCTTCTTGAAGGTGGCATGATTCAACTTTCGGTAATCAATGCACAACCTCAAAGTCTTTCTTTTTAGCGAACAAGACCGGTGCACCCCACGGTGACACACTCGGCCGGATAAAGCCTTTCATCCTCAA